TGGTCCGGCCTTCCCTTGCCAGGCTTCTATGACGACCCCTTTCATAAAAAGGAATTCGTCGATCTTATAAAGTTGATTCAGTTGTTCCAGATTTAGGTGGTCCAGCTGTGCAAAGTAAAGGCATCCGGTCTCCCTCTACGGGGGGGAATTGCCTTTACATATTTTATGGGGAATCCTTTGGCCCCATAAGCCTCCTCTACTGCGGTGGTGTCCGTGTCAACTGGCAGCCCCCTGATGGACTTTTGTGGGCTTTTCCTCTTCCGGGGTGTAGCAGTACCAGGACATGGCTGGTATTTTTTCGCTAATCTCAATCATATACCTTTGTATAACCCGGAATTCTTCCAGGCTCTGGGGGGAAAAGCGTACCCCCTTCCCGAACGGACGAGCATTCGGTGGATGTCCCAACTTTCTGTTGAGAACCACAAAGTGTTTCGTCCAGTTCGGGAGGCATTCCGTGACGATAGGTGGGTATCTAGATTTTCCCTCTTCTGGCTTTTTTGGTTCCTCAGCTACTTCCTTGGTACTGCTGGGGCTGCTGCCAGTTGAGCGTAACTTGTCGATGGCCTTTGTTCGTCGTCGTATGGAAGGCCAGAAGGATTGGTTGCAGGCGCGAACGATGATCGTTCGGCAGAGGGAGCTAGTGTAGCGTACGTCGTACTGTCCCATCCACGCTTCCTCCCCTCCTTGTTCGTAGACGGCCGCATTACTGCGCCTGTCCGGTGAGATGGGGGGGGGGGTTGGCTTCCTTGGCGATGGAGATTTAGGTGGTGACTTATGGATCTTGTATCCTGCCGCAAGTTGGTATTCTTCTTCGTCTGAAGACGATGAGGCTGATGGTGGCGTTGACGAAGTGAGCGAAGCGATGCATTACCTCTTTTTATAGAGTGATGCCTCGGTTTCCGGCGGTGTGTGCCTCCTTGCCGATTTTCTTGCCCGCTACGGTAGAGGCGTCGGTTCCAGTCCACTCGTGCTCTCAGACACGGTGGACGTGAGTTAACCATTTGTTACGGCCTACGGCTGCTCCCTTAAAGGGTCCAATCCTCTGGGGCCCATGAGCAGAAGACTTCCCGAGCAGACGTAAGTCGGGCCTCAATGTGGCCACGTGGAAATTCCTAATTACAATAAACCAGATGGGAGGACGCTAGAAAGACATAGCACTTACCATTATCCGAAGCTAACTTCGCACCAAGGCTTGGGCAGGCCGTGAGTGTGTGTAATAGTGGATGGAGAGTGTATAGTGAGGGGTGAATGTGTGGGGCCTTGTCAAGCATGAGCGACCAGCCGCTGCCGACTTCCAGGCTGCTCAAAAATGCTGCAACACTGCTTCAGACTGCTTCGGCGCCGGACCACAGTCACTTTCCTCGTTCGTCACGATGACAGTCAATTAACTCTATCGTACGATTTACTAACAACTTACAGAAGCCACTAACTATCGCGGGTTATAAGGTTAACGCACAAAACGCACACGGAGTTTACAGTTTATTAAAGGTCACTACCGTTTCGCGTCGCAACAGTTAGTTCTAGAATATCAGAGGCCGCACTAGCTAATATTGCCTAATGCACTTATGCAGATTCTGAGTCAAACACAATGAGTCCCTGGGAAGCTCTCCAGCAGGAATGCGCGTCACAATGGTAGACCGTATATTTACTGGCCGCGATCGTGAACACTGCCTAAGGACGACTGCCTGCCCTTGGGCGTTTTTCGCACGAACGAAAGTCAAACCGGTGTGAATGCACCGCGCCGAGCGCCCTCTCGCGTCAATCCTTGAAAGTGTTTGGCGCGAACACCATTCATGCGCCCTTTAAATTATTTTAGAATGAGCCCATAGGCTGGATAAGGTGACTGACTGACTGACTTACATGGGTCGGAAACCTGGTCAGAAATCTTCTAAACTACTCATCGTAATTTAACAAATTAGATATATTTAGAAGCATTGTGTCCTTTCGCGGGTTTGAGGTTGAATGAAGTCACATAAAAACTAACATGGCGGTTTACTACGTATAAGTACTCCCAAAAATGAAATAAATATTGAAATATAGTGTCTATTTATTCAATAAATGGTGCAATTCAGAAAACTTTGAACATTCCGAAAATACATGTTATAAAAAATTTATACTATATTAGTATTTATTAAAGTTTTTTTTTATAAAACTGAAGTAACCAACAAACTTACAGTCCACCCAATGACGTTAAGTGGCTACTGCAGCCCATGGAAACTTGCAGCTAACTTACGAACCCTTCATAGAGAACTAATTCATTGTAAATATAATTTTCTACCGATTTCAAAAAGGAGGAGGTACTCAATTCGACTGTATGTTTTTTATGTGTGTTACCTCATAGTCTTTTTCTGGGTGAACCGATTTCAATGATTTTTGTTATTTGAACCCTGGTGCTTCTCATCTGGTCCCTTATAAATTTGATCAAGGTCTGACCCAATCCCTCACAACTTACATGCTATTTAAATACAATGAACCGATAAGAACTAAAATGTACAAATAGTTACAGGCCGATACCACATTCAAATGACTATCACAACACTGTTAACTTTATTTCTAGGATAAAAAAATAAACAATTGATAACGATATATAGTACTAAAAATATATAGAAGAGGAAAGAAAAGAAAATGTTTTATAGAATATTACAAGACGTGGTCTCTTTATGTGCGACGGGGCTTGTTAGGAGGATCGAAAAATATATCGATTGTTTCGCTAAATTTGTTAACAATTTTATTCACTCTAGCAATTGGAGAATTGGAGCCACACACTGTTCTATGATGAGGTCTATACACTGGCGTAATCTTACGAGCAAAATGCGGATAGCGAAAGAGAACGCACAAATTAAACTTTCAGGACAGTCAATAACACCACTAACTTAGGTTATTGATAAGTCTGCGCGCGCGCGCGATGACGTATTAATCGTATTAATCTAAGACCACTAATAATTTTGGAAGCAAAAATTAAATCAATAATATCCCTATGGTTTGATAGAGAAATCATTTTGAAATGGACCAAGTTATTTTCATATGACACACGCTTCTTATAAGTTCTAAAGCCACGTGCGTAAGACAAATGTCTCATGAATCTTTTTTGGACCCGCTCGATTCTCAGTGCATGTGTAGCTTAATGAGGTCTCCAGACTACAGTACAGTATTCTAATATACTTCTTATCAAACTGTTAAACAAAAGAATTTTAATTTTAGAGCTTCGAAAGACTGATATCTCTTATTACAAAACCCATTATCCTAGATGAACGTATAGTAATGTTTTCAATGTGAGGCACAAAAATTAATTTTTATTGAAAATAACCCCTAGGTCTCTAATTTCGTCTAACTGCTGTATATTATTATTTCCAATGTGATGAGCTATAATCGATAGTGTTACTTTTTCTCGCCTATTGCACATAAAACATTTATTAATGTTTAAGTCCATACGATTTACTTTGCACCATTCTACCAATTGATCTAAATCATTCTATATTTTCACGGAATCATTCTCTTCCGTAATCAAATTCTTGCAATTTTTAAATCATTCGCATACAAGTATGCATGAAAACTTTTCACCAATTCTGGAATTTCACTAACGAACGACGTTGTCCGAGATGTGACCCTGGGCGCACACCGGAATTAACATTTTTTAAGCCTGAGTGATATCCATTCGCTATTACAAAAAACGCTCGCTCATTTAAATATGATTTATTCTTAATAATTTATATTGAAGTCAGATGTACAAAATTTTTAATTTTTAATTATATTTTTAGAAACTATTCCACTTCTGATGTTAAAAATTATTCTAAAAATTATTTAAATAAAAGAACACTACCCAGTAACAAACCCTGCTTACTATCAGGACCCAATTACATGATAACACCAAAGTATGCAAACCAACAGCATCACTACCAATCTCAATGTACTAGTAACACAGGGCAGCCTCTCAACAATACGACCTTCCTTGCCCAGACCGACTGATCCCTCTTAGTCGACTGCGTGATACTTTGTACTGCTAAAACAAGTGGGAGATTATAGTTCTACCTTCAATATTTCTTATTTTCTTTTATTATTTTACCCGTATTCCTAACACGGCCTTTCCTGACAATTCACACGTCCCCGTGTGAAGCCTAGAGTAACGTTACCGGCTTTAATGTAACTTTACCGTCTTGGCCTTTTCTGACCATGAAATACATACTTGACGGCGCGTCTGATTATTTCGAAGATTATTTAAGAGTGAATGGCAACCGGATATGTAAAACGCCATCTATCGAAGTAATCGGTTGTCATTCACTCTGACGCAACACCGAGGGCTAGTGCGAAAAGAAAGAGGGAGGACGAGGCAGTTCGCATTGAGACGGCGTGGCGTGTTTAACGATTCAGTGCCTATAATAATTTTGTGATAATACCCTAATTACATTTTGAGTGAACTACTTCTTTTAATTCTCCTTGCCCGATTACCCACGCCTAATTAAGGTCAAGTATGGATCCAGAGGATATAGCAGACTACCCTGACGTCCTTTTATCAGAAGTGGGATCCGAAGGGAATTCACAAGGAGAATAAAGCAATACGCACGTGGCAGCGTCGCACAATTTACTGCGCAACATGGAGGCCTTATTATCTCGCCTCTTGAAAACTCCGTTGCCCACCGAATGACAACACAACTAGTGTAGTTTGACCCGTGACGTGGACATAGAAGGTTGGTGCAGGATAACGGAAATAGTAGTGAATAGTAGGAAACTAGATGGTGCTGCAGATGTGTACGGCATATCCCTCGCACTGAAATGTCAGAAGATGTCATCACGGGGTTTTTAGCTTCTGTGCTATGCCAAAAAGATGGTATTTACGACGAGAGCTGCAATCTTGTAATGTTTCTACTAGAGCTCAGTTGTTACGGGTTCTCAACGGTGTTTCATAAAAACGAAAATACGAAGGACAAGAGATTAACGAGACGGAAGTAAAAAGAAGCCGCTACAATGAATCACGCTTTACTGGAACGTGTCATCGGTGTGGTATGTCAGGTCATCGAGCCTTGGACTGTCGCAAACGCCGAGAAGTGCCTGTTACTAGAGCGACTACGAAGACAGCTGAGCAGCATGTGAAAGTGCAAGTCTATCCGCGTCCTGTTACTGGTTATGTTTGTGGTCAACAAGGGCACGTCGCATCAGCGTGTCCAGATCGCCAAAAGAGCGACGAGAAACCGGCTGTCAGCAATGTCCACCTGCGCGAGCGGAAGCCTGCAATCGGCACCTTTACTACGTCCACTGGTGAGCTCGTTTCTTTTCTCTTCGATAGTGGTTCCGCCTGTTCATTGGTGACTTCAGACTTGGCTAGTAGGCTACCGGGTACGATGCGTAACGAACTTGTATATATCGCGGGTATTGGAGATGACAATGTAGTGACATGCGATTTGCAGATTCTTAGCCCCATCAATGTTGAAGGCACCCAATTAGATGTGTTGTTTAATGTAGTTCCCAACACTGCTATTAGCGAACCGGTTATTATAGGTAGGGGTATTTTAGACAAGAGTGTCATTGTCGAGATTAGTAACGAGCGTATTCAGTTCTCGCTACGTAGGGAGGTTGACATTGTAGGAAAATCGAGTCAATATGATTTTACTAACATTGATACAGATTTACAAGGTGAGCATAGGGTAGCCCTCATTAGGTTATTACAATAATACCGCGAATTCTTCATAGATGGCTTACCAACACGTCGCGTTTCTACAGGTTTCATGCGAATAGAGTTAGTTGATCCAAATAAAACTGTTCATCGGCGTCCTTATAGGTTGTCACCGGCGGAGAAAGAAATAGTTAGAGATAAAATACGACATCTTTTAGAAGCGGGAGTAATTCATGAGAGCACGTCACCCTTTGCCAGTTCGATACTGCTCGTTAAAAAGAAAGATAACTCTGATAAAATGTGCGTAGACTTTCGCGAGCTTAATGCTAATACCCGACCAGAACATTACCCGTTACCGATAATCGACGAACAGATAGATCGACTTCACGGTGCCCGTTATTTTTCGTCTTTGGACATGGCATCAGGTTATCACCAAACTCCAATGGATCTCGAGGGTGACAACATAGCTCGTACAGCCTTCGTAACCCCCGAGGGGCAATATGAGTTCCTTGCCATGCCCTTTGGCCTAAGAAGTGCAGCGTCAGTATATTAAAGGTGTATTAACAAAGCTTTAGGTTCGCTTAAGGATACGGTGGCATTAGCATATATGGATGACATCCTCTGTTATTCTGAGGACGTCACACGAGGTCTTGAACGTTTAGACCTTACACTAAAAGCTCTATGTGAAGCGGGGTTTTCTTTGAACATTCATAAATGTAAATTCCTGGAAAACGAAGTAGACTTCCTAGGTTATGTCGTAAAATCAGGTCAGGTAACTCCCAATCCTAGGAAGGTACAAGCACTAACAGACATACCCGCCCCGCGAACAGCCAGTCAAGTTCGTCAATTTTTAGGTTTCGCATCTTATTTTCGGCGTTTTATTCCAAATTATACCCGCTTAGTAGGGCCTTTATACCCCCTAACAAAACTAAGAGGTCCGATAACCTGGACGAGCCAACATAACGAGATCCACAAAACCATAGTTAGCATATTGACATCAGAGCCGGTCTTGACGATCTTTGACCCCAAATCCCCAGTAGAGCTTCATACAGACCCGAGCTCAGAAGGGTACGGTGCAATACTAATTCAGCGACATAATAATCTGCCACACGTGATATCCTACTTTAGCCGTCGGACAACCGAAACCGAATCGCGTTACCATTCCTACGAACTTGAAACCTTGGCGGTGGTCCGAGCGGTCGAGCATTTCAGACATTATCTGTATGGACAGCACTTCACAGTTTTCACGGACTGTACTTCTCTTAAGGCATCAAAATCTAAAACCGATCTTACACCCCGAGTCCACCGATGGTGGGCCTTCCTCCAGGCTTATGATTTTACAAGCAAGGAAGTAGCATGGAACACGGCGATTTCCTCTCCAGAAATCCACTCGATGAACCTACCACGAATTATCCTGATAGCAATCCGTCCAAGAGAAACAAGTCTGTCCAATTCGTTGAACTCCACCAGGGTTGGCTGACGGTTGAACAAAAGAGGGATAGCGAAATACAGGACCTTATTAACACGCACAGCAACAAAGAACTTCCTGAAGCCGTTACCCATACTTATGATATCCGAAAAGGCATACTTTATAGGAAAATTGAGCGTAACAAAAGTAGCTATTGGCTCTCGGTTGTACCGCGCTCCCTCACTTGGACTTTAATCAACCATGTCCATACAGAGATTAAGCACCTAGGCACTGAAAAGACGCTAAACAAACTATACGAGCAATATTGGTTCCCACAAATATCAAAGCTAGTGCGCAAATTTGTAGATTCTTGTATAGTATGCAAAGCTTCGAAGGGCCCGTCAGGCGCTACCCAGATAAGACTTCATCCGATTCCTAAAGTTTCCACTCCTTGGTATACCGTACACATTGATATCACGGGTAAACTCAGTGGAAAAAGTGATCGCAAAGAATATTCATCGGTTATTATCGATTCCTTCACCAAATACATTCTTCTTGAATATACCCTCTCTTTAGATTCAGCAAGTGCTATTAAAACTCTAAAAAAGGCGGTTTGCCTTTTTGGATCACCTAAACGTATACCAAGGGAGATGCTATATAAGGGCCGAGTTTAGAGAATTTTGTAGGGATCATTCCATATACCTTCATCTCATCGCAACAGGATCTAGTAGAGCAAACGATCAGGTAGAGCGCATAATGCGCACTTTGAAAAGCATTCTCACCATAGTTGAGAACGACCCGAACAAAACTTGGCGAGATGAACTTCTAGATGTGCAGTTAGCTCTAAATAGTACGCGGTCCAGGGTAACTGGATACTCACACACATAACTAATGTTTGGGATAAAAGCTCAATCCTTAGGTATGTCAAATATTGTATTAAGTTCTGAACCTGAACCGCGATCAGACTTAGACACCATCAGACGTAATGCTGCTGACAACATTGCGAAAGCAGCTGCAGCAGAAGTAGAGCGATTCAATCAAGGCAAGGCAGTCGTGAAGCCATTCCCTATAGGCGAGTATGTTTTTATAAGAAACAACGAGCGCAATCAGACAAAACTTCATAAAGAATTCAAAGGTCCATTTTTAATCAGTAAGGTGTTAGAAAATGATAAGTATGAGCTGAAAAACATTGATGGGTCCAATAGAATTTACAAATATGCTCACGAAAATCTTCGTTTAGTACCCGGGGGATATGACGGTCTGGTAGAGATTGCTACCTCGTTAATTAATAATGATGAGGAGGAGTTCGTGACGGCGGGGCAGAGCCAATATGATAAGACACTAACATCAGATGAGGACAGTGACACAATATCGGTGTCCAGCGGTCGTACCGAAACAGCAAGCTCAGCAACCCTCTCAGCATCAGAACGCGAGGAACTTTAAGCTTAGTAATGTGGGTTATGGGAATTAATTGATGCTATTAAACTGTCTAAGGTGTAGTCATATGTGATGACGTGTAAAGAGCCAGTTGTCCAGTCCATGTTGCCATATGAGATGACGACTGGTCGAAGGGTCGCTGTCACTCTCCGAGTTGGGTATCGTCATATAAGATGACGGATAGAGAGCAAGTTGTTCGGTCCACGTTGTCATATGAGATGATGACTGGTCAAAGGGACGCTGCCGCTCTGTGAGCTAGCTAGTTGAGGGCTAGGTTGTCCGGTCCAAGTCATCATAGGAGATGATCGTTGGTCGAAAGGACGCCTTAGCCAGTGTTAGTTTTCATGAGGTCAAACGTAAGCGCCTTGCCTATATGTGTGTGGGTTCCTAAATGTCCAAAGATAGGGACAGTGTACCTATTCATGTCAGGATAGGACAAGCGAACGAAAGTGGTAATCCCAGAGGGTTTTATTTTCCTATTGTTACAGAATAACTCTACACCAAAAGCAGCACGAGGACGTGCTAATGTCAGTCCGGCCGTGACGGCGCGTCTGATTATTTCGAAGATTATTTAAGAGTGAATCTCAACCGGATATGCAAAACGCCATCTATCGAAGTAATCGGTTGTCATTCACTCTGACGCAACACCGAGGGCTAGTGCGAAAAGAAAGAGGGAGGACGAGGCAGTTCGCATCGAGACGGCGATCGGTTCACATCGCGAATAAGCGCTACGTTCTTGGTGGAGTGTTTAACGATTCAGTGCCTACAATAATTTTGTGATAATACCCTAATTACATTTTGAGTGAACTACTTCTTTTAATTCTCCTTGCCCGATTACCCACGTCTAATTAAGGTCAAGTATGGTTCCAGAGGATATAGCAGACCACCCTGACGTCCCTTTATACAAATTTTTTGCAGAATTGAAAACATCGTTCAAATCAGATTTTAGTATACAACTTCAAACTAGAGCTAACACACGCACACTGCACAGATTGCACTATACACTGAAGACACAGGCCACCCAGCTAAACGCACTCCAGCAAGCGGTTCCGCTGCGTTCAGCACTCGCGCAGCACGTGCGCCGGCGGGCAGTCACGTAGCACTCGTGGCAGCGAGCTGTCTCGGCTTCAATACTGTAGGGATAGGCACCAAGTTAGCATACCCCTCAGTGGCCCTCAGTGGCTCTCAGAGGCTGTTGACATAGACACAAAGTTAGCGTATCACACAGACTTCAACACTGTAGGCATAGGCACCAAGTTTGCATACCTCTCAGTGGCTGTTGACATACAAAATTAGCGTTAATTAGTACCTGAAACCTTTTTCATATTGAATTTTACTACAAGTAGGTAATTTTTATGTAAAATTTTAAGTACACAACAGTCCAAGCAAAAGACATGGAAACAATTACGTGCACATGAACAAGCGTACATCCAACATTGATTTCACAAAATAGATAACTAAAGTAATTTAAGATTGGAATAGATGTAAAAAGTTCCAGGTGCATGAAACAAATAAATAATCTGCTTTGCAAAATTAAAAATTAAAAGAAAAGAAGAAGAAATGTATTGCGAACCATAGAATTCCAGACTTCTAAAATTCACCACACATTGTCATAAGAAACGCTAAACCTTAACTGTGTGCATGGCACTCACAAACCACTATACACATTGCAAAAAGGAAGCTGCATGTAAAAGCGTAGGCCAGGCTGTGTGCCAGTAACAGACGGCGACGTGCACAGCGCGGCCGCTTCCAAAAACTTTATATATATATACAAGTAAAAATTTGCAGTATTACACGTATCAGTAATTATTTTAAATTCAATTGCTTTGCATTCAGATGATTAATATCATAAAATATGACAATTGTTCCCATCCATTTAAGTACAAATTGTTTGTACCTGCTCTAAAACACAGCAATTACACAGCTAAAGATTTAAATCGTACTTATAGGTTGAATGTATAGTAATAAGGGTTTTCTTTCTGAGGTGTGTTGTATTTAGTCACGACACACGTAGTCATAATTAATTACATTACGTCTATTAAACTCAAATTTTCACTTTAACACCCGAGATTTTGCAAATACAAGCGGAATTTGTTTTGGCCACGAATGGCGCCAGGCAGTCAGTCAAATACAGGCCGATAGCATGTACGTGAATGGTCTTGCCCATAGCTATGGACAGGACCACGAGACTGGCTTACTACATACATATGTAGTAAGCCAGTCTCGCCTGTCTTTCTCGCTTTAACATATGCGTATACTTTGCTATTTCTCATTACAATTGCCAATTTATTCTAACATCAGTTCATACTAAATCTATGGTAGGACCGAACTCCTGTAGAAGCAGAGTTTATGGCGCTGCCGCTATGTAGAAGATATTTGTTGTCAGCGCAGACAAATATAGATTGCTTTTAGAACTTATTTCTGCACTTATTGTTAAAAAACTTGCGTATATTCCCAAAGCAAATAAAAATATGAGTTACAAAAATATTGCATTTTTGCTTTTAATGCATGATTTACGCACCATAGCAAGGTAGCTTACTTACTTACTTTTCATATCGTTTTTGGCGGGTCTTCCGTTCGATCTAGTAGCAAAATATGTATGTTAATCAAACTGTCATTGCGACGGTTCAATCGTCAGTTCGTACTACAGTTGCTATATAAAGGGCCTCCAAAGTTCGTAGTAGGCATAGAAATAGATAGCCCCATAGATAAGCCTAATGGCCGTTGAAAGTACACTACAATGGCCATCAAAGTCGAAGCAAAAGTAAAGGAGAATAGAGTAAATTAAGATTAAGTAAGTAAGGAAGATTTACGCCGGGAAAATTCTTGTGGTAGGTCGTTCGAAAATAGGCATGGGCTGTTCTGTGCGCTTGCAACAATAATGTAGGGTGGTGGCAGCGCCGCTACAAACTAAAATATAAAGACAATAAAATTGATCTAACTATACCATTAAAATATTTGACATAGCTTCCATTAGTTTTCTTGTCCGAAATAGTAATATCTATAAACTTAGATTTATTTAGGGATAATTTGACGTAATGGCTATTAAAAGACGCATATCAATAACTTTTCAATCACACTACATGGTTGCTAGGCGGGAAAAGGGCCCGTAGACTATAATTTCCACTTAAGCGTAGAGGCAACTTATTTGCTGTGCAGTGGTGGAGTAAGATTATCCACTATCCCATACCGCGTCTCGTGAGTGTCAGAAGTGGCGACAAAGGGAAACAAGCCTGAAGATAGGCAGCAGCATCTTCCCAATAACAACTGTTTAGGCTAAGGAGGCAATGCGTTCTGATCACACGTCACTGGTTTCCGAACGCTTCTATTAGACAACGCTGCATGCACTTTAACAACTACAAAAGCTGTATTAAAACGTTCCCGCTCTATACATAAAATAAAACTCCTGCACACGCAGAGACATTCATATTTCACAAAAATATGCATAAGAGCTCCAAAACCATTAAAGTACAATGAGGGCTAATAATTTTCTGCTCACCAGGTGTCGCTAGTTGACACTGAGATAAAGTTTTTTGTTACACTGTGATTTAATTGAGAAGTTGTTTTTTAATAAAAGTTTATCAGTTTCTAGAGTATTACATTAATATACAAAACAATGCGTCAGTGTTTTGCTCTTTACTTTTTTTGCACATTTTTTTTTAAATTTTTCTACTTTTATAAATATCTGTGGTTTGGTTTATTTATTTTTAATGTTATTAATTTAAAATACAGCTAATAGTACAGAAAGAAACAATAACTTTTATATTTTCCGACCAAATTAACTTCCCCGCTATGAAATCTGTCAAATATTATACCTTACTTTCTAGTGGCGCCGTCTTGGTGGCACAAAAAGCCGTGGACGCCCACATTGACATCTCGTATTTCCAGAAGAAAAGAGAGAGGCCTATGCAGCTGTGTTAGAAAATGTGTATAGAGACGTGATCATCAAAAAGTTTATCATTTCTCATATAGATATTCTTAACGAGTTAACATAGATACATACAGAATGCGCATACACCGCAACTTCATAATATATATCATGTTATCCTCTATCTATAGTGACACCTTCCTATTTTATTTTTATTTTATTCAGGATAACAACAGCTTATTAATACTTAAACATTTTACTTAAATTATTAAACACGAAAAAGCCAATAATAGTTATCCACAAAGTACATAACCAAACATAACACTGTAAATCTACAAAACAAATTCGGTAAGCACTAATTCTAAGCAA